CAGCTCGCTGGCTTTGCTTTACACTGTAAATGAGAAGGGGATTTTGAGCCCTTCTTGTGACATGACACCCAACAGTGGCTCTTTTGAAAAAACAGTACTGGCTGGGAACTGGACTAGCTTAAGATGTGCATTTGTATGAGCTCACAGGAATCCCTTGACATCAAGCCACAAACAGAGGACAAAACCTAAGATCCCCTTTTCCCAGTAATTTACCAGGGGAAATCTAAATTCCTACCCAATACCATGTATGGGTAGTAGAGCTTAACTCCCCCCAAAAAGGTGGTTGGAGAAAAACAGACAAACCAGTAATGAAAAGAATCCTTGCTGTCAAAGATCCGAGGTGGTGGGAGAGAGGAGAGGTTGCATACCTAATACTCACTTTAGTGAGGCTGGAGGAGGGGGCGGTCTGGATAGCATGCTGTAGGCTGTCTTTCAATATTAGACACAGGGATTTTTTTTGAAAATTAAGATTAGTACAAAAAGAAGTCATCACAAAACTCCCAAGCAAAATTACCTGCTCTTATTTTAGATTTCTGTTTGACAGACAGTACATTGGGGTTTTTGGTTATTTTAGTATAGATACATGTATACCTACATACAGGCTTTTTTCAATAGGCATTTGTCATCTTGACAAATGGAGATGCTGGGGCTGACCAGGTTTCCTACAGCATCTGTTTCAAGTAAAAGGGCTGCAAGAGCCCTTGGCAAGTGTGCTGGTCTGCTGGGGCTGGACAGCCGTGGTTCTGACCAGACATCAGCAGTGGGCAGCTGCTGGAACCTGGGCAGACTCACTGAGTTGCCTTGACCACAGGCTGAAAAGTGATAACATTTGTACAGGTGCAGGATTGGGCTGTGAGGTACATCTAAATTTGTCCTACTACACTGAACAGATAGATGAATAACCTATCTGAGAGCTAGTGGCAGTCTTCTCCAAAATAACCATGGATAATCAAGGAAAGGGGAGTTAACAATGTAGCAGCTCAGTTAAAGCACTTGCCTTTCTTACTAATCAGATAGGACAGCCCTTCTCTGAACCAGGCAAGGGTTGATGCCATCAGTATTTATCACTGATGTGGGGGAAAGTATCACCACAGGAATGACTGAACAAGTTTAGTTTAGGCCATTGAATCTGCTCCCATCAGTGACAGATTTGCTGCACTTTATGTCAAATGTGGGCACCTGAGAAATGGAGCACTCTGATGCACTTCTAACTCCTGATTTTAAGGGGCCTTTGCAGTTTAATATAACCTGAGATTATAACTGTTCCGTGTTGTGGTTTTCTATTTCAATGGTCAATACATATTACACTATAATCTCCTACTCAAATATGCAGGGTAAAATTATGCAGCTGCTGCTCCCCTGTGGCTCTCACCTGAACAAACCATGCATAAGATCACCATGACAAACTCATGTGCACAAAATTATGCTCAGCATGAATTTTTTTGAGATTTATACCCAAAACACGTATCTGGCACCTAGACATTAGTAAAATCTTCACAAATCCCCTCAAATATTGCCTTCAGCCCCAAAAGTCCTTCATCCCCTCTGTCAGTAAAAATATCCAGGTACTGAGGATGTCTGCGGTGAGTCTATGCCCCAGTTCCCACACTGCAGAGGTGATCAGAGGCCTTTCTGCTGCCAAAGTCTCAGCAGGATGCTCAAACAAACATCACTGTGGGCATATGAAGTACCAGGGCTTGGTCCTATCAGATATTCCTGCCTACTCATTGCCTCCTAAACACAATTAGGGATGAACAAGATAATATTCTAATTACTTCCCAGTAGGTTGACTACCTCCTTGACGTAGCTGCTTAAAAGTCCCTCCACTGCCTGTTCAGAAAAGGAGCTTAGAGTCAAATATCCTAATCCCAGGTGGAAATGACACCTTAAACATATCCTGAGAGCTTTGGTCTCACGATCTCTACTTTTGTGTGTGTATCCTAATCACTGAACCACCTTTTCTCCTGTGCCTATCACTGTTAGTGTAAAGGCCACAGCTGCCACATAAATGTGGTTTAACTGACTTTAGACACTTTAGAAGAATGCGGTGGTATAGATTAGGACAGTCTGTAGCAAGAGCTACAGACATCAGGATGAAAGACAGCTGGCAAAATGGCTATCACTTGTGATTTAATCAAGCACATAAAAAGTGAATATGAAGCCACTCCTATATTTATACTAACTAAGTCAAAGGCTTTTCATTTCCTTTTATTTCATTCTTACTTGCTGCAGGCCATCAGTGGTTCAGCTGGAATCTGTACACCAAGTTGCATGGCAGGCAATTCATGAAAGTTTCATCAAATCGGAGATCCTGTCTTCAAAAACCACTTCTTGACAACTCTCCTGGAGAAGGATGTTTGCCTGTGAGTCTGCCCGCAGCAAAGAAGCGCCACTGGTGCTTCAGGCTGCAGGTTCCCTCTATCTCCGGATAACTCTTCTCTTCCACTGTGCTGGGTGAGGGGGAGTACTGTGAGGGTGGGGATGGAGGCTGAACAAGTGCAGAAGGAAAGGCTGGGGAGATGACTGGTAACTGTTGCCTAGGGCTCCTGGGATACACACGGACGTCAGTAGTTCAATGTCAGGTGTTTTCAGCCAACACAGTATGTGCTGTTTTGTGATCCCAGACCTATTAAGTGGCCTAGTACTTCAGAACACGCCAAAGATTTGCTGAGCAGAGCGCTGAAGTATCAAAAGATAAATATATGTTCTCTCTGTACTACTGAAAATGTAGAAAGTGCTTTTTTCTTTTCTATATCATAAGTTATCTATGAATTGAGTGGTTAGATTCCTGAGAAATCAAAAAACATAGATAATATTCAGATCATCTCATATTCCTCTAAAAGTATCCCTTCTCCCAATAAAATTAATATGTAAGCACAGCCTACACAATAATTCCTTCCTGCACTGTGTTATAAGGAATTCCAATGCAATACAAATAGTAATTTAGCCAATTGTTTCATATTGGGATTGCTTAACCTGGAGAAAAGGAGGTTCAGGGGAGACCTTACCATGCTCTACAACTACCTTTAAGGAGGTTGTAGCTGGGTGGGGGTCAGTCTCTTCTGCCGGGTAACAAGTGACAGAACAAAAGGGAATGGCCTCAAACTGCATCAAGGGAGGTTTAGATTGGATAATAGGAAAAAATTCTTCACTGAAATGGTTTTAAGGAATTGGAACGGGCTGCCCAGGGAAGTGGTTGGGCCACCATCTGTGGAAGTGTTCAGAAATGTGTCTATGTGGTACCTGGGGACATGGTTTAGTGGTGAACATGGCAGTGCTAGGCAGTAATCTCGGAGGTCTTTTCCAACCTTAGCAATTCTATATTAGTTTTGCCTTTCTGCTAAAAAAATAATGAATCTCTGGCTATCAAAAATTTGTGTCTTAGCAAAGGGACTTCCAGAAGTGGTCACAAAATGGGAGAACTCCAAATAAAAGTTCTCTCTTGCAGAACTGGAAGGTAAAAAATATATGAACTTGAAGAGTTGCCTGGCCAAGGAGCAGAAAGCATCAAGTGGGTCAAAATACCCTAAGGACTTTAGGGAAATACCAGAGTACTTTAAAAAAAAAAAAAAAAGGCCTCACTAGCTTTAATGTTCCCACACAAGTAAATCACAAGAGGCAGGCTGGGCACTCATTTATGTGGGGAGCTTCAGAATGAGATCAGCCTCACGTGACTTGAGGGTTATGAGTAATAGGCCCAGAAAACAGCAGAGAAAAATCAGTGGGTTCTGGGGCATTTGATCTGAAATCCTTTCTCTCTGCAGAAGTTGCAGTTAACAGCAACTCGAGTAAATCAGCCTCCTGACACTCAGGGTGTCATGATGGAGGTTCTGTCTTTTCAGTGATCAGAAGCTTATGGCTGCTGAGACTAGATCCCATGAGCTGCCTCCAACTCCTGCTGCCTGACTGCAGACATCCCTCCCAGTCTTTTCTCTCTCTTTCACTACCAAGGTGTCTGCCTGATGCAAGGTTCAATGAATTGCATGGGCATGTGAGTTGCATGAGTTGTAAAGAAGGGGGAAGTGGGGCACTGGTCAACAGAGAGTCAGATTTTGTAAAAGAGGAATATGCTGTAGAGATGTGGTTGGTAGGTCCAGCAGGCTCTACTCTGGTGGGCTAACTTCTAGGTTGTGTGCTTTGAAAGAAGAGGTATGTGAGTGCAGAGGGAGCTGGGCTACGGATTAAAGAGTTAATCAGGATAGACAGCAACTGGCCTGGAAAGATCATCCTCTTAGGAGGGGGTCCTCAGCTGCACAGGACCTTTTCAGCTCTGACTCATTTTTTTCTTTTGGGTCATGAGCAACACCGAAAAGCCATGATAGTGTACAATATTGGCTGTCTAGGCAGAGTCTGAAAACACCAAAGTGCCAGTACAGAACGTAAAGTGCAGAAATCCCCTGGCAGTGGGGCTCAGTTAGGCTGAGCTTAGGATGAGAAGAAAACACCACTTTCATGTACTACACCTTCCAGGGTGGTATTTAAGCACCACTGATTGGGAATCCCTGGTATAACTGACGCATGAACAAAGAAAGCCAAGCCAGTGTAGCTTAGGTTTCCTGGCAGCCTGCTCCTGTACCATCCACACTCTCCCATACCCCTGCTTTGAGGGACTGAAAATTCTCTGCACCTACAGGAGTGCCCAGGAGTGTACCTCCTTATGCCCAGGTCCCTCAACAGTACCAAGAGCTCTTCCTGAGAGAACACTGACTTACAGCAAGTTATCACCTCTTCAAAGCAGTTGGCTACATCATCTGAACCAGGGAGCACTCAGTAACACGGTGAATGGTAGTACTGAACAGAAATGCTTCCTTAGGAGATTGGTGTCCCATCCTCAGCTGTGCTCTCTCTTTCTCATCAATACAAAAATAACAAGTTCAATCCTTAAATAATTTATTTCTGTATGTCAGAGAATGTTTTTCAATTATACATTTAAGTTTGTAACCTTCAACACAAGAGTAAATATATATATATAAAAAAATCCTAGTTGTGCAAATTTCAAATTGCATTGTTTCAAATAATATAAATATTTTAATAAAACATACGTTCACATTAAGGTTCACAAAATATATAAAATCTAACAGAAACAAGTAATGAGTTAATTTTTTTTCTTTTTAAAAACTGTTTAATAACTAGAAAAAGATTCTAAACTTGAGAAGCAAGTTAGAAGAGGTATCACCTCCAAAATCATAGCAGCAAAACAGATGATGAAAACTTACAAGGTGTGAAAGAAGAGAGAAGCAGGTACCAGGCACAGTGGTAAAGGTGAGGTTGCTAGAGAAAGTATTGCAGATTGAGAAGTGGATGCACGAACTCTGTTACTGAGCTCCAAGCTGTTTGCATGACAAAATCACATTAAGGATGACAGAAAGTGTGACAGAAACGGGGAGGGAGGATTCAAACAGCACACACATACTCCTTACAGTTGCAATGCAAGAGAGAGAAGAGTCACTCTTGTTTCAGAACTAAGGCTGAAGACAAAGGGCTTTGGGGGTTTTTTGTCCACTGGAGGTAATTCCTTCCATATGAGCGGGAAATGGCAGGATACATTTTTCCCATCACACATATTTCTTCTGTAATCACCTGTATTTCCACCTGTCTTGGTTTAGGGAAAGGATCTAAATGCTGGTTCGGTTAAGCGTGTTGAAGGAGCAGACCAATGCTGGTCCTGTTTCTGGCTGCAGTTTGCTGAGGGCTCTGCAAACACAGAACTGCTCGCCGTGAACTCCCTAAATACCTGTGGGAGCTCCCACCTTGGCAAACTCTGTAAGAACACCAGCAAGGACATGGACAAAATTTCTTCAGACATCAATTGGAAGTTGCATCAGTCTGTCCTGGGGAATCCCGTCCAGGAAGCACTTGCCTCTGACTGATGTATGAAGACATAAGGAGCTCCTGCATCTCCAACAGAAGACACAGCTCCTCGCTTGGGAGAAGGGGAGGTATTGAGAAAGAGGCAGAACTGGGAAGTTCTTTGGATTCAAAATGCTTCACACTTCCTCCTGGGAAGTCCAAGAATTAAATATGGCATTGTAGGAACTTAGTCATGAATGAGAGCTCTGTGTAGAAGGCAACGTGACCTTCTCAGCAGTCCTTGTGTGCAGTGTTTAGAGGAAGTAGACATTTATTCCCATTCTTGGGAATAAACATGAACCAAGCAGACAGCTTATGTTTCCCCCCACTCTCCCATTCCCAGGACTGTGAAGTGTTTTGGACATAGCACCATTTCAGGGAAGGAAGTAGCTGGTATTCCTTTCTTGTTCCTTACCAGCTCCTCCTCTAGCCATAAATCTGTTTGAACTGGTAGCATTCATTGCAGTAGCCGTTGCACTTGGCATTGCCATAGTGATCACAGGCGGGGGCTCGGCAGCGCTGCTTTGGGGGCTCCTGCGCCGCCGGGTCCCTGGTACTTCCCGATGGTGGGAGCTGACTAAGTCGCCGGCACTCTGGGCACAAGTCATCACTTCTGCAGGCCTGGTTGTTTCTACATGAAGCCACAGCACACTGTCTCTTCTGGCTACTCAGTGCTGCTCGCTGCACATCTCCATGCTGCCCTGTTCTCTTGAAAAATATTAAAACACATCGTCAGTTGCTGCGCTGGTAGTACAAATAGCTTTTCGTTTACTTTCAGCTCTGCTCGTGGTTTATATAGGTAACCACTTGGGGGCTGTTTGCAGGCACATGTTGTTTCTGCAAAGTGTAATACCAAGAGCCAAGTTCAGTTTTACCAAAGAAATTCACAAATTCTGTCATTTCTTAGGAACAAACGGGTTTTTATCTTTGGTAACAATTCCGAAAGGACCGAAACAAAGCAAATTAAAAAAACCTTTCTGGAACAAAGACAATGAGCACAATTAAAAAGGCAACTTGAAGTGAACTGAACCTCTTGATGCAGTTGTATACCTCTAAGGGTAAGAATGAATATCCAACCAGCAAAACAAACCAACTGTTGATTCAATTGCTTCCACTGAAATGGGATTTGCTCAGCTAGCAAAATCCCAGCTGAGGTAAAACTGAGCACAGCCATGACAACCCTAAACTGAGAATGACTTTTTAGGAGTGCTGCTCAGTTGCAGCAGAAAAAAAATCACGAGATGCTCTACGCTTGTCTTTCCATGATACTTAGGATGCAGTCATTTAAGGATTTTCTAGTATGCATCCTGAGTTGTTCACACAAGAGAAAAATATGCAGCGCTAAACAAGAGGAAGATTTTGAGGAGTTCACACTTACTTCTGTCTGTCTCACCAGCTGTTCTTCTGTCCTTCTGGCTTCCTGAAATCGCTGGTTCTGGGCTATAATGAAGCAGTTCTGGCAGTACCCCTCGAGCATCGTGCTGCCCAGGGTGCCACAGTCACGCCGCTGGCAGGACACAGTGTTACGGAAGCCAGCAGTGGAGGTACCTGTCTGACCCCCAGCTGAAGACTTCCTCTGAGATCTCCTCTGGTGGCGCAGCAAAGCGCTATCTGTAATGCAATGTACAGACAGGAGGAGTTTGAATGTGCCCGATCGATCTGTAGACCCAAAGCAACTATAAAAATCTCTGCAGTCTAAAAATAAAAATAAATTTAAAAAATCTACTAGCCTCAAACATGGGGTTTTGGCAATCGTGAGACCTACCAGTTGGTATACCTTCCTTCAGGTTACATAAATAAGGGAGCTAATACAGCTTGGTCTTCATATAAGTTGTTGAAACAGATGATTTGGGAAAAACTTGCCCTAAGTGGGAAACCTAGATCCCTTTGATTTCATCTTTGATTCCAGCATGTCACCTGTGACCTACCCTGACACTTCCTTTTCAGCCTCTCCCATTTCAGTCACATGGGATAATTAAAGTACAGTGGTACAGAGTTTAATGGGAAAAAGTGCATTATACTTTTTAGTCTCATGAAGAAATCTTATATATTCCACAATCAGAAGGAAAAAAAATTTCATTGTGAGCAACGCTGGAAAATAAGCTATTGCAAGCCAGCACAGAAGTTCCCTATTCTGAAAGCATGTGGAAAGCTCAGTGTTGTGAAAGATGTCCCTGCCAATGGCAGAGGGGTTGAATTAGATGATCTTTAAAGGTCCCTCACAACCCAACCTGTTCTATGTTTCTATGTTTATATTGGCACACTTATTAGCAATGAAATAGCCTGAAGAGATAAGCAATTCTCTTACGTGTGCCTTTCACCCTCTATACCTAAGGGCTCTTTACCTGTGTAACAGGGCAGTAGCACAAAAGATGAAGATTTCGTGCTGTGATTTATTCCCAGACTAGCTTTATGAAGGTCAGCCTTTAAATATACGTGTGCATGCACACACATGATATTACTAAGAAAGATTGAAAGGTATATTATAGCATTATTATATTATACACTTCTAAGTTACTCCAAAATACAAGCATGTTATCCGCAGTCAACTTCTACTTGCTCTGCTTATCAAAGCAACTACAGTGGTTACTCCAGAGCATTAAACTGTTACATGCAGAACAGATACAGATCTTCAAATTCTTTGCAAGCTTTTTAAACGCTCTGCTAACAAAACTGGTTTTGACAACTGTCAATATAATAGCATTTCCCTCACTGACTCCTACAACTTGTCTAACTGTGAAGAAAACTGATACCAAATCATGGTTGCAGTGGATGGTGGGGAGTTACCAAACCCACCCGCTCCTGAGTTAGTTTTGCTTCCATTTAAGATGAAAGGAAATTTTATAATAGATTTCACAGATTTCCCACACCGTTGCCACATGCGCCTTTATGGGTGTGCTGGTTTTGGCTGGGGTAGTTAATTTTCTTCACAGTGGCTCCTATGGGGCTGTGTTTTGGATTTGTGCTGAACACAGTGTTGATAATACAGAGATGTTTTTGTTATTGCTGGGCAGTGCTCACACAGAGTCAAGGCTTTTTCTGCTTTTCTTACTGCTGTGCTGGCAAGAAAGTGGGGGTGGATGGGAAATTGGGAGAAGACATAGCCTGAACACCTGCCTGCCCATGGCAAACAGTGAATTAATTCTTTGTTATGCTTTGCTCTGTGTGTGTGGCTTTTGCTTTCCCTATTAAACTGTCTTTGTCTCAACCCATGAGTTCTCCAGCTTTTTTTTTTTCGATTCTCTCCCCAATCCTGCTGGTAAGGGAGTGAGCGAGTGGTTGCATGGGGCTTGGTTGCTAGCTGGGATTAAACCACAACAATGGGATAATAACAGCCAGAAAAGCACCTTCTCCTCACACTGCTATTCCTGCTCCACACTGCTTTCTCCTGCCCTTTTAGCACCCAATCCACTCGGAGCTTCACAGTTCAAGGAGGCTGATCTGCAGCCAAAGTGTGCCAAAGCTCACTTCATGTTGACTTACCATGGTTTTCTCTGTACTCAAAGAAACACAGTGTGCAAAAGCCCTCATTTTGTGATGTCCCAAAAAACTTGCAGCCAGGTTTCCTACAGAGGTTACCTCCCCTGTTCTCCCCAGGAGGCAGCGCTGGTGGAGGGGGCTCCTCACCACGGCTGTTGGGAGCCTGATGGCCGGAGTACTGGTGAAGGATCTGCAAGATCTGGGATGGGTCAGACGTTGATCTCTGGTGGCAGGTGGGCAGGAAAGCGGGGCTGCCATTTGTGGATTGCTCTGTAGACCTTTTGAAGCAAGTGCTACATATGCCATTGAAGGTCCTGTTGGCCTTTTGACAGCACATTTTGCACGTGGCATAGTCTAAATGTCTCTGCTTATCCAAGTTGTTGCAAGGACCAAGCTGCCTGGAGTTGTAGCAGCGTTCGCACAGCCCATTGTGTTGCACATTCTGTGTAAAGGGACAGTCTGGTGTCCTGCATTTCATGGCCGTGGTTTCGCTATATAGGAAAAGGCTCGGAGCTGTCGGAGGTGCGGAGCGAGGCTCTGTTACAGGCCCTTCAGGCGGCCATCCCCCAGGTTCACAAATATCCCTGCGGGAGGAGCCCGACCCAGCTGCCTTCATTTTCTCAGGTGCTGCTTTGAAGGTCTGCTTTCTTCCATTTGCTTGGGACCTCTGCTCAAAGCATTCATGGCAGTAGGGCTGGGTGTTCACAGACATGTAAAAAGGGCAATTCAGCGTTTCACATTTCATCTGTAAGAGGGAGAGCTGGGAAAGGGACAGCTCCTGTTTGTTCCTGGAACAGGCCTCTCTTCTAGCAGGTTCTGCATTCTCCTGCCACTTCTTGTACTCGTGCTGTACCAGTTGAAAGTAATCTTCCACGAGGTTTATTTCTTTGGGGAGGTTGCCTTCATCTAACCTGACAGCCAAAAAAAGGAAGATTGCATCAGTGGTCAGAAAGAGCAGATGGTGGGGATGGAGGCAAATACAAGCAATGTGGGAAGGAAATGCAGATTTAATGCACATCCATTTTACTTAGATAGAATACCTGGGATGTTACACTGATGCTGTAAATGGAAATAGTTTTAAAAGCAAGTGTTCAGTGATGGAGACTTTCACATTTTAAGAAATGTTCTGACACAATTCTAAACAGAAATATTCTTAAAAGGATTTTCTAGGTGAGGGTTTTCTGTGTAAGAGCTGTTTGCACGAAGGATATGGGTAATCCCTCACAGGTGAAAAGTCCCCCAAATCCTGAATATCTCTGAGGACCGGCTCAGCTGAGGAGAGATTAGAGTAGAAAACCCCTTTCTTCACCAGCCCACACTAAGAACAAGCCTTTCCAGCAGTGGGGTCAGCATTTCATGATACAGTTTATCATTCAATCTGCTTCTGGTTCTGCCTCTATTGGATCTGTATCTACCAGCGGAATTCTTCAAACAGACTATGAGGCTTCAGTGTGGTGTATGCAATGCTAGCATTCACCAAAGCATTCCTACTTTGCCTCTGGGAAAACCCCACACTGGGGATTCACCATGCCACAGTTAGTAGGATGAGGAGTTAACATCACTGGGAATACTCCAGAACACATCTACACAGTGGCACTAGGGAAGCTTGTGTACTACTCCATGTGTGCATATATCTTTTGGATAGAAGGGCTTCAATTTTCAAGGCTCCTAGAACAGAAGCAGACAATAGTATAAAGATACTTCCCTGTGTGGTAATGGAAGCAAAGACAGAGAATATAGGGAGTCACTTCCCTCCAACACTCATGAGGGGACTGGTTGGACACTGCTGTCAGTGCCCACTAAATGTGAGAAGCTGATGGGTCCTGCCAGCTGCTCCCTGCGTGGTTCTGATGCTCAGCCACCAGGGGGATAAGCAGAGATGCCAGTTCCTCCACTGGCCACTTCTTCCTGCCTACTGCTACACAGAGCAGCCCAGGGTGGGGAGGCATTTGTGATAAGAGCATACCGCCGAGTACTTTCCCTAGGGCAGCCAAAATTACACCAACTGCCCGTTATGCAATGTGCCCTTACATAAAGCACAAGAGATCAGCCTAAGTAGTTCCTGTGTTTAACTGCATGTAATCGAGAAGTCACTGAAACTAATCAAATGGATTTTTTCTTCTAAAATACTAGTTTCAGTCTGCTAAGTCTGAACACATTTTTGCCTTTAAATTTGAGACTGGTCTTAGCTCATACAACTTCAAAACACGTCAACAGTAATGCTAATGTTTCATATTTCAGACAGTAAACATGTGGGCTACTGTGGAAGGAAGGAAAGACCAAAAGAACACACTGGGCTGCCTGGCTTCTCCCACCTCTGTAAACAAGATAACTTTGAGGAAACAGGAATGACACTCACTTTGCAGCATTGATTAGATGAGTTGTACCATGATCCCAGCCTTGTACTGGAATTTCTATCACTATCAAGTAGACTTTTAGCAGCTGCTCTTTCTCCTTCTCTTCTGCATCTGTCAGAAAGTGCACACTTAAATCCTCAAATCTGCCTTGTTCATTGGTGACCAGAGGTACAGCCCGGATTTCTGTGGGGAAACAAGATGGATTAAGATGCATATACAGGTATAGGAGTAACCACAAGATGCAACACGGAGACAAGACACACAACAGAGATGACCCCACTGCTGACAAATTTTTGAGAGAGAGAACAGCTGGCCAGAGCAATCAGTTTCTATACAGTACCACTGGGGGAAGTTACAAACTCAGCCCCATCCCACAGCAGTTCTACTGTCGGCATAGCAATCTTCTTCTCCATGTGAGCAGTGTTGCAGATCTTAGTTTGTTATACCTTTCATGGGATTATGCTGTAACCTGAACCTAGAGAACTGCTATCCACTCAGAAGAGATGCTTTAAAAAAGGTAAAGCATATATTTCATTATCCCTGCCAGGCAGTGGTACAGTGCTGTGAGATTGCATCCTTCGAAGCTTCTTCTCTTGTGATGTGGTATGGAAAGAAGGCCAGAACACAACGAAGCAGAGGCCACTCTGACTAATTCCAGCCTGCAAGCAGGTGAGTTGTACTCTACTTTCAACCAAAAGTTTGAAGGTAACCTTTAGTTTCTGTTCAGATTTACAGACAAAGCTGTTCCTGCTCACATTTTAAGAACATATTTCAGAGGAATCTTTTACATTTATTTAACTTCAAAAAATCTAATCTAAGCCAGATCATATTTTAAATGTTTTATCAGAACAATGGTATCGAAGAAGGGACATAAATACCAAAATGAGATACTTGAAAAATACCTGGCCCACTGTCCTTCAGAGTCACCAGTGGTGTAAAATGCATGTTGTCATAGCCGAGCACAATTGGATATCTGTAGCATTCTTCAGGTGGCCACAGGAGAGGCAAGTAAACACCACCAACGTTCAGAGGAGCAAAACTGGAGCCTGACTCTAAACTTCTCACCACTTTATCTGCATCAGGAAGAAAACACAAATAAACACAAATAAATATGTGCTACAGGCAAGAGAAAACATATTCTGGGTGTTTTAGAAAAATTCCTGAAAACTCCCTGTTCTGAAATGTATCTACCTGAACACAACAATTACGGAGTAAGGTTACTAACACAGCACGGAGTAACATGGTGAGATGACTGGAGAGGCAACTCACCTGCAAGAACAATGACTGGCCTTCTGAGGATGTTAGCAAGGATGAAGATGTGGATTTCTTCCAGTGCATTATATGGAAGCCTGTTTTGAGCCCCAGATATTTCTGGAGAGGTCATTTCAATGAGGTATTCCCACTCCTCCTCCCAGTTCTGAGGAAAGAAACAGCCATCAGCAATGATTCAGACATGGAAGTCAGGAACCAGCTGCAGCACAGCAATGCTCAAATAATCACATTTTCCCATTTCCTCCAAAGGAAGACTATTTCTGCTCTCCACTAATGGCAGAATCCATGAAGCCAAAAAGCAGATAAAGTCAGCAAGGCAATGCTGGCAAGCACTCAGAAAACAGCACCATTCTCTCAGGCCGCCTTACCCGGGTGTCATAGTGGAGGCCTGTTTCTACAAACTCCTGGGATTTAATAGCCTCCCGCTGCCAGCGGAGCTTGAAGTTCCGTGTGTCAATCTCCCTGAGAGCGCTGAACAATGTTTTTCTTAAGACAAGGTCGATATCTTCAATACCCCACATGTACTGTGATGCAGCATGCATGAGGCAATTTCCATCACCTGCAAAAAAAGAGAGTCCATTAGCCTTAAATGGCTACTTAAATAAAAACCCACAAGTGCATGGGATGTAGAATCACACTGCACACATGCATATTCCCCATGCACTTCTCTCTAAGCCTCAGACAGAAGGGTTTTAACAAAGAGACCATAGCTGTGATCTCTATTCAGAGACAGAAAGGAAAAAAGTCCCCTCTCTATTGGTTTTGTCCCTGCACCAGCCAATGTTAAGCTGTCATTGAGCAGTGCCCTTTACCTATCTGACTTAACTTTGGTATCATGAACTAAATTTTGGGGTCAGCTACAAATGTCAAACAGTTGAAATAGCTTTTAAACACTACAAAGTCACTTTAAAATTACAAAAAACATGTAAATGTCCCTCATCGGTGTTTATACAAATATACACCCAATGGCACGGGGTTGCGATAATGGAAACCACTAAGAAAATATAGTAACACCAAGCCTCACATCCCCTGATGAGCACTGCTTGGCATTTGGCTGTGACTGATGGAGGAATTGTAATAAAAAAAAGAAAGAAAGAAAAGAGCAGGTGATTATGTAAAGTAATCATAGGAACACCTCTTGCCTTCTTCTCGGAAACAATAGTATGCTGGGATGTTAAACCTATTATTTAGAGGGCTGTTATTTTAAAACACAAAATTAAAACTAAATAAATGAAAAAGACTTATCTCATTTTCATTTATACAATCTTCTTGCATTGGAATAAAATCCTCTTTAAAGAAGGAAGGAAAGCAACGTTCCACAATTTCAGAGGGGAAGAAACTGAGAATCAGAGGAGGTAACTAACTTAATTAAAAGGTGGTACAAAATATGCCTACGGCTGGGTTTCAAATTCTATCTCTAGCCATCTTCAAAAGGGAATGTCTCCCCTGAAAGGGAGACATCAAGAATCATTACTGTCATATCCTTAGACTCAAAACTAGGTCTGATGTTTACTACAGTGGTAAATAGATTCACCCAATGCTAAGCAACCACAGTGATTTTCTTGGAATAGAGGATATCAACCCTGATAAAGCTACTAGATTTTTCCCAAATCGGAAAAAAACCCCACACTCAAAGAACTCCCACAAAAGAATTACACCCAGTTTGCCACAGACATTATGAATTCAATTACACCACTTGCCAACACTTTTGTTACTTTTTCTGTGAAACTGCAGAGAAAAACGTACAACAGACCCCAGATCCTAAAAGAGATATAATTTGAAATCTACTCAATACTTCATAAATTGTTATGGGATTGGTGCATATCAGGTTCCTGCAGCTGCTTTCTGGTTTTTGAATGCTGTCTTACAAAGCTTACTTCAATCTGCAGGCTGCTTACTTGAGCTCAAAAATCGGGGAACAACGTTTAAGACAGAAAAATTGACTGGGTTTCCTTCTGACCAAGAAAGATGACATATTAATCCCATTAAAATTTTCCCTTTGCAAAATCTAGAGCAAAGATAAGATTAATTTTTTTCTCTCTCTGAGAGCTCGCTTTCAGTTCTTTATTGAGAAGCACTGCCCAAAATTCCTTACACAGCACTTGGAATTCCCCAACACCGTTTGACTAGCAATTGAGCAACAGTTGTACTTTTTGTTCTGCTGCGTGCAGAGCTGCGCAGTGAAGCCTCCCTCGGACTTTCCCAGGGGGTGTGGCTGGGTGAGCTGGAATGAATGCCAATTCATTATACAAGTGAAATCACTACAGCCAATAGATGCTGGAATTTTCAAATTAAAAAAAAAAGAAAAAACCCCAAACAGTTTCGATTTTTATACCTCCTACTGCTCTCCTTCTATCCTCACTTAAGATGCCTGCAAAGAAATGTGTGGTGATTCAAAAGGGCTTTTCTAATCAAAAAACCCCACCACTCCACAGACTCACAAACATATTAGGTAAAATATACATCAAAAGATCCTGTAGGAGATACTTTCTCTGTTTCCAACAACTACAACCTTCAGCAGAAAAAAACCCAGAATTTTCTGAAGAAAGCCCACTGCTGGGTGAAAGAACTAATATATTCCTCCCACATCAATGGGTTAAGCAGCTAAATGCTTAAAAAAGTACTCTTCATGCCACTTTGGAAGAAAAAAATGTTAATTTCTGGGATAATACAGGTCTTCTCCAGGCTTCCGCCCTTCTTTCAGAGATCCTCTCCTTCAGTCCAGTCTACCTTACTTCTCATGCAAAGATCCTTCAACGCAACTACTTTGCATAAACCACAGGTTCCCAAAGCCATTCCTTCTACCCATGCCATTAATGACCCCGAAACACTGAACTGAAGCCAAGTTTATACTCTGCGCAGGGTATGGGGAGACCACAAACCAAGTCCTTCCTTTGCCTTCCCTCAAACTGCCCTAGCACTTCAGCATCTTGTATACTGGTACTCCTGCTCATGGGCAGGATTCAAGTCCATATTGTTGCCATGTGTAACACTGGTCGACTGTCATGAGACAAAGAAAGAGGCCAGTGTTACTGAATATAACTTTGTTAGCAACAAGGGTCCATCCAGGCAGTGTTAACCCCTACAGGATTTGTATTGACAGAAGATGAGGGATTCTAAAACCATTACTCTTTGCCCTGGGCAAAAATAATTGTGCATATTGTCCATTTTCCTAGTAAATCTCTTAGAGTGCACCTCCTGAGGTGAAGTTTTGAAGATGCAACACTTGATGTTACTGTCCCAGTACCTATAAAGCGCTGCCTGCAACTCCAGTCCTTCCAGAAGTTCGAGATTCCACAACCTCTGTGCAATTACAGTCATGAAAATCTTACACCAATGCAGAGGCTACCAGAAGGTCAGTGACTCTACAACAGTTACAGAGTTGTACATCAGGATCAGGCTCTTCTAGGTTGGGGCGGTGACATGTACTAAGTGGGTTTATTTTTATGGCTTCTGTACAACACAGCTGTGTACAATCAGACTGAGAAATATGGCAGAATATGGGATGGGAACAACATGGACTAGGAAGATAAGGGTAATGTGTATATAAGCAGATATGAAAAGAAGTATCCACAGAACACAACATGGACTTCAACAAGGCTGCAGGTCCACCCCACCCAGTGTTTCTATAACTGCTGTGATCTGCTCCTTAAGAAAATAATATGTATTTTCCATCTTCTTGGAGTCCTCACTGTCTCAGTCTGTCCTTCCTGGTTTAGAGCAGCCTGTCCTGTAAGGAATCCTGAGTCCAAGTTTGCAGCAGAGTAACCACAAGTCACAGCATTACTGAATCTTTCCTCCACTGAATGTGAAATACCCAGTGACTCTTACAGTCATGTGCCAAAATTTCCTGCTCAAGGCTGTGGACAAATGTAACCTGTTCAGGAAATCTTTTCACTACCGTTGTACTTTTTCACTTATAGCACTTGATGCAATACACACACAGCAACCCAAAAGCCAAGTCTTAAAACCAACACTGACTGTTGAAATAAAAAGGCACTGCAAACTTTGTGTTGCACAAGAATGGCTATCAGTCACGCACATGGGAGGTACGAGTGAGCCTTGAGGGAAGGTGAGAGCTGGCAAACTCCAGCAGGTAGCTGAGGATGAGGGAGCTGGCCAGGTGCGGGGTGCTGACCCCAGGGACAGCAGTGTCAGGTTCCCAGAGGCTCCCTGTTCAGAACACTCCTGCTGGCACTGTTGTTAAAGCTGGATCAGCGAGCAAACCTTGCCTGACAGTTACTACAGCAGGGCTTATGGAAGGATATTAGCTTTTGCTATATATACACAGGAATGCAACTCAGTCACTCAAAGCATCTGAAGTCTCCTCTTGCCTGGCATTAAAGGACGTTCAGCGCTTCCGACAGGGCAGCCAACACAACCAGTCAGATTCATGGAAAGGCAATGGGTTGCAAGTTACGTTTCTCCCCTTATTTGACTCTGAAGTGCCACAGGTTACTGACATTGTGAAAATATCGGTGAAATTTCCATGCTACTCACAACACTGTGGTATGGGCACGGGTCTGCTACAGCCTCAGGACAGTACATCATATGGGAAGAATTTTAGTTTATAAAACTAAGATTAAACGGCCCCACATTTTTAAAATTATGCACTTCTCTTCCAGTAACGTGCACTCAGATGCTATTAATAAAGATGCTACATTCATCTTACCCATTTTACTGTGAGTGCAAAGACCTGCTCCTAACTTACCATTAGTCTTCAAAGGAACAAGTCTCCGAACCTCCATGCACCAGTTGAGCTTCCTCTGGCGCTCCAGTGAAGTCTGGGTAGCCTGGTCAGTCAGGGACTTCTGAAGCGTTTCCCGAAACTGAGGACAAAATTGGCACATTCTGAACATTTCTATGGTGTATCTGTGCATAGTCCTGAAGTGGTGGATTATTCCATTGGGAGGTTTGACTAGATCCTCAGGTGTCCTCTCTCTGATCTTCATAGCCTTCAGCATATTGCTCTGATACAAAGCTTGAGGAAGGATGTGTTGGCCAGCCATGTTTCTAGAAGACACCTGAAATGAAAAAGGATCCTTTTATTGGCATGTTAGTGTCCTTGTATAACAGCGGCACTTTCAGAGGCTGCAGTTCTGCCTAAAACAAGCACAGAGTGGATGCAGTCCAACTGAGCCTTTAATGGTTTTTAAAATTCATATTCAGTAACCTTTCTGCATTACTCAGGTATAGACACTGACTAGCTTATCCCACTCAGTTGCTGCCATAATTTACTGAGATATTAAAGACAATTTATTCATAACCAAGGAAATTGCATCATCACTCAAAAAAAAAGCATTTAAATCAAAGTAAGGATAAAAGAAGGCAAGATCAAGGGAAGGGAAAATTATCCTGGGAACTTGACTAATTGATAATTGCACAGTGTAATCCCATACAAACTTGCTGAACTTTCAGTTTCAAGCTCTTGTTTTGATAACGTGCCAAAAAAAGCAGATAATGACCATTTCAGATTTTGTCAGCCCATACATTCTGCGAAGTGATGGTCAGTAGGGTACAGAAAAAGCCCAAAGAATTGCAAGCTCTGCTAATTATCCGTCCCATACTTACAGTGGCCAAATATGGTAAATGAGGAATTTGTTACAAAGCAAGCACTCAAGGGCAGGTTTATGTTACTCTTCTTGAGGCTGTTTATATTTTGTGAGTGGTAGAGCTACTGCACTGAGGTGCTTGTGCTGTGTGTGTGGGGGTGCAGACTGTAGTGCCACTATTACTCAGTGATAAGTCAACATAGCTGAAAAAGCATTTCCACTTGGCTCAAAACCCCCAATATTTTTCCATAGTAGGACATATAAAGTTTACTGCCCTGCATCCCTTTCTTCCGTATCTCTGGCCTGATGGGCTACAGCAAGAAGAACATAGAAAAAGGACCCCACAACCCTGAAACTGTCTACACTTTCTGAAATACTTATTCATAGGACACTAACTTTGTGGCTAGCTAGAACCAAATGTAAGAACCACATCCCCCAAAACTCCCGTGCACTACAGTAACAACAACAACAACTATCTGCGTTTACATAGAGAGATTCTCCATGCTGTCCACATACATTATTGCTCTGTTTAAAAACAAAGCCAAATTTGTATCAAGACAAATAGAAGTATGCATGCCTAACATGTTTAGAGTCCAGCTAGTCACATTAGGAGAACCCTCCACTGTGATTATGAACCTAGGGAAAAATATCAAGCCATAAGTGCATATTAAGATCTGGACATCAATAAAAGGAGATAAGAAGCAACTAAAAATTGTTTATGCAACTATTAGGAAATTTTCTCATGGAGCTAGGAGTCTGGAGGGCTACGGAGAGGAAGAAGGACATGAATCTGATGGACTGACTGGGAAGGCACTCTCAGATCTCTGGAGGCAGAAGGCCCCTCTTGCACAGAAGGACTTCAGCACATCCTTCTCCACATGGAAACAGTTGCTCTCTCCTCCCAGACACATCCATTGGTAATATACACCTCCAACCGCCCAATCAAAGTGCTGAAAAAAGCCCTCCCAGGGTAAGAGGGGACCTCAAACTCCTGGTGCCAAGAGCTGACCTCTATAACCTCTCTGAGAAACAGATGATGGAGAGATATAGTGGACATCCTGTCAAGCCCCAAACAGAGGCAGGTAAAAACAGGTGATGCTACCAAGTCCTCTCTACTTCAGGGCAATGTCATTCACGTAGTGTTTCCTCTCCATCTGTAAGAGCACTAGGGACAGGGCTCAGTGCTGTCATATCTTGCAACATGAGGAAAAGCTTTCCTTTAGGTAATAAAGATGGCATATTCTTATAATTCCTCCACCAGCATACAGCCTTAAAATGGAAACAATACATTTTCCCATCCACTCCCCTCACCAATATAGTTTGACACATGCTATTTATCTAATTCTGTATACAAATGTGTGGATGATTCTAAAAAGAAACCATAAACAACCCCTTACTAATCTGTATAATAAACATAGCTATATTTCGCCCAAGATGACCAAACTGCTTCCTTTTATAAGTAGAGACACCGAGTCAATGGGATTTTTTTACACAAATAAAGACTAATCACATGATCAAGCATTACCGGCATGGATCCTTGAAAGGGTTATTTCCAGCCTTAACTAACAAAAAGTACTGAATTTACAGAAGCGTTCACTGAAACTACATTATTTGATACTATGTTTTACAGACATATTTCCCCTCCCCACATAGAAATTACTGTCTATGCTATTTGCAGTCATTAAACGTCAATCAAGGCAAAAGCCAAGCAACCCTTATTTTCAAAATCAATGTGATGAGAAAAACAGAACTCAATAGCCATCCAAGCTATAGATTTAAGAGTCAGAAAACAGAGCTATAGTTGTATTAGTTTATAATGTACTGTACCGTGTGCTATGTTACTTTAGACAAGTAATGACTATGAATTCCCAGAAAAAAACAACTGTAAACAATGATTAGAAACAGCATCCTTTCTGAACATGCAATACTGAGGATGCTGGGCTCGGGAAAGTTGAATACTGTTCTGAGATCTGCCAGTGCTTTCATAAAGTTATTTTTATTTTCTGCCTTCCATCTGAAAACTGTCAATAATAAACTTCTTCGTAAAGTGGTAAGACTCACTGCCTAAGTCTTTGCTCGGTACAAAACAAAGCATAGTATTACTCTTCACCAGATAAGGAGATAAGGACCGAGGCTGTTTTGTATCCCACAGGACTGATTTACACACAGTAAGTGTTCCGCGTTCTTAGTACCCCGACCTACTGCTCTGCTGGAAGCTGGGTATGCAAGGTGGAAAGGACGTGATCCCGCCCGCCAGCTTCCCAGGGGAAGGAGCGCCGAGCTGCAGGACGGATTTCCCAGCCCGCGGCCGTGCCGCCGGCGGCTCTCCCGCCCTGCGAGCGCCCGCGGGGTCCGGGTGCCGCCGGGCCCGGGCCGACCCGGTCAGCAGAGGGCACAGCGGCACCGCCCGGGCGGGGGCTCCGAACGCGAACCGGGAACCGGCACTCGGCCCCCCGGCTGCCAGCCGGGATACGGCCGAACCCCGCCGCCAGAGCCGCCCGGGCCCCCCCGGCGTCCTCCTGCGAACGGGACGGGGGCGACGGAGCCGGCTCGGGGGCGATGCAGCCGGCTCGAGGCTCCGCCGTGCCCGGTCCGCCTCCCCTCCCGCAGCCAGAGCGGCGCTCACCTCTCCGCGGCGGGCTCCTCCTCTGGCCGATCCTGCCGGCGACTCCTTCTCACCAGTGGGTCTGGGGGGCTGGTGGGACGCAGGCAGGCTCGGGATCCATCAACCCCCACACAGTGCAAGGGTCTCCTTCCTTCCCTTCTCTCCCCCTCTCCCCGCCGGAGCCGCCGCCGCTGTTGCTGCTGCTGCTGTTGTCGCCACCGCCGCTGCGGAATGAAGGGCTGAGCCCAGCCTCTTGTTGTTTTTTCTTTTTTTTTTTTTTTTTCCTTTCTGTTTAAGGGCTCGGGCGCAAAAAAAAAAAAAAAAAAAAAAGGGAGAGAGAAAACACACAACACAAAAACCCCACCGGGGATTTCCACCGGCAGCCGGGCAGGGACTTTCCGGCGTGTGACAACCGGCGCCGCCGCCCCGCCCGCCGCCGCCAGGGGGCGCTGCCGCCGGGCAGCCCCGCCGCCTTTCCGCCCGCCGTGACGCACCCGCGGGCTCTCAGGGAGCCGGGATGGCATGTTTTCCTTCCTTATGCCTTTCCTCCCGGGCGAAGGGGGATGGGGGTTTGCCCGTCCCCTCCCCCGTCCCACAGGCCTCGCTCCGCTGCCGGCTGGCCCGGTGCCAAGTGGCTGGGTCCGGAACAGCTCTGTGTCCCTGGGCAGAGCAGCGCCCCGGCTGTGCCCCGCACTCTCCAGCCGCCAGCACGAGGCTTCCCCGGGAGCCCTGGGCTCGTCCTCGGCCACGCGTGACAAGGGCCTGCTGGCCTCCTGCCCTAGCACACGGGTGTCGGGGTGTAGGTGCCCGGGTGTAGATACTCACACCCCTGCCGTCAGCATCCCAGCGGCACTGGAAGGGAGCCCATCCCACGGAAGCTATTCTCTGCCAGACTGTTTTTGAACCCAAGCAAGTATTTATTTTTTTGATTTAGCTTGCATCTGCTTCACAGTTTTGGCTTTGTATTATAAGTAACCATCAGTGACTTAATTTCTTTAATTAGAGGTTACGCTGATACATAATCCCATATACTGGCATTTTTGGCAGGAGATGTTAATAAGGTTTAATCCAGCCCTGCTCAAGGTAAGGTCATCACAGGCAAGGGGCAGAACCTTGGGCTAAAGCTATGGAATCAAGGAGAGCTTAGTGCCTGAATATGTTTATAAACTCTTGACTGCACCTAGCAGTTTGTAGGAATCATTACATTTAATTATTGTAAGCAATTAATTCACACCTTTAAACAGTGTCCTAATACCTGTGCAACGAAAAAACTCACTGAATAAAACTCTTAATATGTAAGGCCCATTAATATGATTTGTGGATGGGATTTGTGCTGGAATAGGGATAGTGCCTTGCTCAACAGCCTTACCACCTGAAGGCACCCAGAAATGAAATACAGTGCAACAAAACTTCTTGCAGTATTAGAAGACTTTGGTGTCACAGATGCTGAGTTCCCGCCTGTTTCCGAGCATCCACCGCTCTCACTGCCTGGATGAGAAGTTAGGGTTGCTCTGCACCTTGAAATCAGGTCTTAAATATTAACTCCTTCAGAGAACAGGTGGGCTTTGGAGGAGTCCATCCTTGAGATCACTCACCTCACCTCCAGTAGCAGCAGCTGGCTCAGCTCATGTGCTCGTGTCACACAACTGGTTATGTGGCAACATAATCTTTCCCAGGGTTTACAGGCCTGTGCTGGCTCTGCATGGCTAGCCGTCCTTCTCTGCCTTTATTCAAAAAAAAGGTCGGGGATGTGACTGGAAAAAGAATAATCCCTTCCAATTTCTACACTCCACCCTCCCCCTCTCCCTGGAGAGATTTCTTTTAAAGATTTTTGTAGGTGTGATGGGGTTTTTTTCTATTATTTCTTCCCTTGCTTTCTTTTCCCTGTAGCCTCTCTGCTGCCTCGGGAAGTAGTAGTTGGGTAGGAAGACTCTACATTTAATGATTGATGGCCCGAGGGGTGGCTAAAATCCAGGGGATTGGATGCCTGAGGGAACAAGGCCTGAGTGATTGCTTGCATAAGTAGAGCAGCACTGTGGTGTGATTTACCCAGTATATGTTTCTGCCAGTATCCTGCCATTCCCTGCTTGCACCTGGACATTTTTCTCTGTCCCCGCATGTGGTTTGAGGTACCAGATTACTAAAGTAATCTGATTAGATAAAAGAAAATAAAATGTTTTAATCCAAAACATTTCTCTCAAGTGATATGAAGCCTGGCCCCTCAAACAGTTTTGCAGAATTTACACATTTGAAGTGATGGAGGGTTTCACTGTGCAGTGGGAGTGAGGAGCTAAGGAAGGAAGTAGGGAAAAAAGAGCTGACTTGTGCTCTGCTTTGTGTATGAAACTGCAGCAAATAGATAAACAAGTGGTCCTAGCCCCTTCTGGTTTTCACTTAGGAGAAGAAGGAAAGGAAAATAAGTGTGAATAAGAAGACTTACAAATATGCAGGTATTAGCTGTGAGCCCATGAAGAAGATAATGAGACCCAGGAAAACCTGAAAAGGCAACAGCTTATTTTGTTTTATAAATGGTAAGCACATTTGAATATTCATAATTACTGTTTACACCTTGATAAACTGAGAGTTGACTGCACATTGCTACAGCTGATGTTTATCGAACAGGTCTGAGCAGGATGGCAGGAATTCATTTGATCTGAGTGTGCACAGCACAAAGTGAAGTTCTTGTCAACCATAACTCCGAGGCAATATGGGAATACATTAAAAACATCAAGAGCATCAATAATTATGAAATGCCCTTTTCTGAATTAATCCTATTTTTTTTGTAATTATACCCTATAGTTTATCTCATAATTTATGATATAATGCTTATATTTGATGGAATATAAATATATATACATATGTAAAAAGTCAAGGAAAATTTTCTTCTTTGAAGTGTGTGTAGATACACACACACACACACAACTATATATATACACACATATTTTTATGTATATATACATATCTATATCTCTTGAGGGAAGGGAGAATTTCTTGCCATTGAGGACAGGATAAGAAATACTTTGAATTACAGCTACCTACATTCTGGTTAAGCGTAAGAGTGAAATGCCCACTCTTCTAAGTGGTGAAGTTTATATAACCCTGGAGAACTCTGTCTAGGGAAACTGCAGAATATCCATTTTCTGAGAAAAGTAATCAGTTTCAGTTTCATGCACATCAATCAATAACAATTCTTTTTTGTGCCTAGGAAGAAGAAATCTCTCAAGGCCCCATTCAGCTCCTTACCTCTAAATTATTTTAATTACTCTGTTTCTTTTTACTGTACAGGAAGGAGTAGCTCATACTTACTAAATTAAACCAAGACGTCAGAGTGTTCAGAACACCATCACCAAGTGTTTCAGAGGTTGCATTAGGAACGACTCATAGTTAAAACAATACTTGTATAATATTCTATCATAGGATGATGACTATGGTAATATTTATGGATAGTAACATTCAGACTTTAATAGCTCAATCATGTGCCAGGTCTTCTAATAACAGATAATTCTGTAAGAGGTGTGATTCATCTAGAATGGAGGAAAAGGATCCTAAAAGGGAAATCCCGTCTATTGCAATAGCAGTGCTTGAGGTCACGCACTTCGGTCTTCCAGGAGCCTTTCCGTTGCTTCTTTTCCTAGTGGATACATGATAAAAGGTTGTCAGTGCAGAGGAGAAGGAGAGGGGAAAATCCCTTAAACTTCTATCAGACAGAAAGATGGTGCTTAGTACTGAATCAAGTAATGACAGTAAAAAAAAACAAACAAAACCAACCCAAACTCATCTCTGCCACTTAGATAGCAAGAACTGAAGTGGTTTAATTATTTTTTTTTTCCATTATACTCATCTGAATACAGTAAGAGAAACTACAGATTCCCAAGGAGACTTTTGCCAGGGTATTGTGACAATACTAGAAGTAGGAATTCTTATTTATGCCCTGGGCCAAGGCTTCCTCTGCTTTTGGTCTGCTTTTTCTTTTTTCTTCTTCTTTTTAGTATATGTAATAGAAATGTCAGAAGTAAAGGGCTGGAATTGCAGTGGATTCAAAGAGGCCGAAGGTTCAAATCTTGCCTTAGCCCCTTTTGTTAAGCTGAAGGTTAAACTGTAAGGGTAGTATTCTCCCATTAAGGCTGGTGAAACACTGCAGTAAACAACCTATGGAGGCAAACAGTGGACATTTTTAAGAACAGATTTATTAGCTAGAAGAGGATAAGTATGGCATTAACCATACCGAAAGTTTGCCTTAACCATTCTTACCTGCTAGTCTGGAGATAAGTTTCATTACTGTTTTATGCTTGTCCCTGAAATGTGTGAAAAAAGTCAAAGCAGTAATGATAAAATCTTTCTAACTTGATTTCTATCTGTCATACATTCCTTTGATATCTGTAGGTACTGCAACAAGCCTCAGGGCCCCTAAGAACTACAGACATACCTATGTATAGCTACATTTGAGATGTAGCATAGCCCAGCATTACTGACCCTCTGCAATACATAGTACAGAGAATTCCAGCAAGGCCCCAGCAAGAAGTAAGAGGGAAACCAACATTATTTCTGCTTAGGAGAGCAAAGTTATTTCTGTGGGTTTTGAAACAGTCTCAAGCAGGGCTTGTACCTAAATTGAAGAAAATAAGAACAGCAATAGTAAGCCAGACCAAAGGCCCATGGAGCTCACTACGCTGTTTCTCACAGAGGTTGAGAAGGTGCTCAGGAAGGAGTGTAGAAACTAAGGTGAATTGTTCCTAATACTTTTCCAGCCTGAATTTTGTCACAGTTTTCTTGTTGGATCTGGGGCTGTGGCTTAGCTTTCTGATACCTCAGTTTCTCAGTTATACAGTAAGTGTGAGGATGTTTCTTGCCTCACTGTTTTTCGTTATCTTGCTTGTTTAATTCTAACTACAGCTCTTTAGAGTGGTCTTCTCCTGTTTTGTATTTGCTGTATCTTAACACCTAGACACATGGTTATTTACTGTGCTGTGTGGTCCCTGCTCCCAGAAAGCTACCAAACAACTGAATCAGACTTCACTTAATGCGAACTCTGACTGTTGGAATGGTCTTTGCTTTAGGTTGAGGGTTGTGAGCATAAAGGATTGTGTAAATAACACCATGGAGGAATGGATTCTGCAAGGGATGGTCTTCTCTTTCCAAAACTTCTTGCCTTAATGCACAGAGTAAAA